AGAAGAACGCAATAATCAATTTCTTCGCAGTGCGAGGCATAATTCAAGCCGAGCGAACATTCCGGCCGATATAACGGGTCGGTCTCTGCGTACGCAGTACGGGGTTTCGTGCCCCGCGTCTAACACCCAGTCTCGCAGCCGCGTTTCTTTTACCGCAGCCGTATATCCGCGCGGTTTATCATTACTATTCTCGAGGAGCTGCGGCTCCCGCTATTATAATAAATCTGTTAATTTCTTTGTTTAATTGGCGAACTTCTTTTCAGTTGTGTTTGTCGTTTCCGTAATTGTCGCCTCTTGCATAAATGATCGCGTTAGAACAACACTCGTCTTGCTCCTCTACCGTTAGGCGAGCTAGTCAGCCCGTGGTGAATTCTGGCATGTGCTTTCGCGTCTATTTCGCGCTTATTTCGTGTGTTTCGCGAATTGATACGTGAAAGATCGTGGCGCCCAAGTTCGATTCTCGCGATTATCTCTCGGAGCTCGTCACGGTACGCGCGGAACTCCTAACATCCCGTTCCCACCTGGCGCGTGGATCTTTTTCTACGTTTTCCCGTTTTTGTCAACGACCATTCCGCATTTCCCGTTCGGCGAATTAGCTCCTGTTCGTCGGCGCAATTTACACTCGCGCGACGGAGAGAACGAGTTGGCGGCCGCGTTTATCGCCCAGCCGCGAGACGGTAGGAAAAGTCGTCGCAACAAACATCGATGTATAACAAATATAATTCAAGAACATAAATATCACCGACGTATGAGAATAGTTATTAACATATACATAAACAAAAAATAAAATAAAATACAGCGTAACCTTGGCTCTTCGATTTTTCTAGTCATTTGCATTATTTTCTGATTGCTCGCCTTGTTGCTTGCCCTTCTTTAACCTAAGCTCTTCGTTTTCAAGATGTTTTTTTGCGTCCTTTAACCAGTTCGCAATATGGAAGTCTGCACTCTCTCTATCATATAAAAAGTGAAGGCCCCTATCTTTTCTTTCTTGTGAATGCCTCTTCAGAGGAGCTGCAAACAAAAAAGGATCACATATTAAATGAATATATTCTTAATGTAAATATATTAGTTATACAAATATCAAATTTAGATTGACTATAGAAATTAATCATATTTACATAATATTAATAACATCATAAATCTCACCAATGATAAGACCATAAGATATCGTATCTAGAAATTTCTTTTTCTGAATTCTTGTTCCTTCTCTATTTGTTCCCTTTAAATTAAAATTTATTGCGACTTTGTTTGATATTAGTTTGCGCATAATGCAATACACAGAGCATTTCAAATCTTCCTTGCCATGCTCTACTAACAATCGAATCTGTAAAACATGAAAATTTATAATTTGGAACGGCGGCCACTATAATTTATATATTTTCAAAATAAAGGAGAGGGAAATATTTTCTTACTATTATCAATATTTTTTCTTCGTCCAAATTAAAATCTTCCCATTTGTAGAATTCCTCCATAGAAGTCAATGGAAGAGTTGGGATCCCGATAGAATTTTCAAGTGTTTCCTCAGGATGACATGTTGCAGTATAAATTTTTATAATGGTGACATAAAGCTTATCAATTCGACTTCTCAAATCACTTATAGCAGCCATTATAGTCCTTTCGTTGAAACTTGCTATTTTGTAAAAAAAGTAATTTATTGTTATAATATAGAAAAAAAGAATGAGTACCACAATATGAGGAAATGTTTTAGCCATTGAAAGAATGCAACTTACCATTATTCCTGACAGGTGATTTATTATGGGGATATACATATGACTTGCATGTATCTGTAAAATCACAACCACGATAAATATAAAATACTTTTCAACAATTGCAATATATGGACTGTTGGCAAAATAATTATTTAAAAATTATATATACATATATAAGAGCAACTTATTAACTTTTAATATTAACAATCTTACCTTGCGCCTGCCGTACTACTGTACAAGAATTTCGGTCATCACTATTCTCATGCTCACTCATTACTTTGTCTTGCTTGTTCGTTTCTAAATCCTTCTGAACGTTACACCTCTCCTTCTTTTTTGTATGATTTACAGGGCCGATACTCTCATTGACACTTCTATCAATAGATGAATAAGTTAGATGTATAGCGTCTGATATTTGGGACTCGTGTGATTTGGAAAAGGAGGCTACATCTAAATAAAATTTAAGGCATATATAAATATAAAAACAATTAATGGCAACATGAGAAAATATCGACATAAATAAAATTAAAGGAGTTATAAAACCTAAACTAATTAAATTTGTCATTTATGCAAACTATTAAAAGTATAAATATTGAAAAAATGATTAAGGATGTATGTGTCATATGTCGAAACATCGACAAAAGCATGAAAATTTCGTAGACTGTTCTACTATTTCTTCTGAATAAAACCTGTGCACAACTCTCTTAACGGTTTGAAAATTATTTAAATTTAAAGTTACTATTGATTGTTATGAAAAATCGCGTATTGTAGCACTTATTGACAAATTTGACAAGGAAAAAACATTGCCAAGACGTCAAAAATCATATTATTTTGTAACCATATTATACTTTAATTCTTTTTATAATCCGGATTTATTCATTTGATTTTTCAAATAGTATAAACGTAAGAAATATCTTTTTTTTGTTAATTTTGACAGTTTTTTGCTACTATTGTACAGCCAAAACATCCTTACGTATAGAGTCAAAATAACTATTGCTCTGATATATTCAACAAGCAAATAAGTGCTTCATACCTTGTGTTTGCTTTGTAGAATTCATGTTACTGTCACATCTAGTCATAACACGATTTTTGCAGTTGTATTTGTGACTATTCCCATATGTCTGTGGTGTTTCTGTCCTTGAATTATAATTGTTTGGTGCACATGAAACTGAAAAAGAACAATTAAATTTATCAATAATGCAATTATTATAAATACAAATATTGGAAAGATCATAATTATATGTGGAGTCAGAATGACCACTGCTCTGAAATGTTCAACAATCAAATAAGTGCCTTACTTTGCGTTATACTATTATCGCTGAAATTGTCGTCACTGTCGTCACTTCCAAAAAGTAATAGCGATGCCTTATTGTTCTTATCATTTGCTGAAATGTCAAAGATACGTAGGAAAATATAGAGAAGATCAAAAATGAGAATTTTATATACTAAATATTATTAGATGCAAAAGTATTTTAGTTGCGCATTAAATAAAACGAACGCAGCACACACACACACACACACAATTTTGCCAAACTACCACCGTTACAGTTAATCTCAACACACAGCAAGAAACCCATATAATTATAGATGGTGTAAACTTTCTTTCTGAATGTAAGAGATGAAAAGAACCACACACAAAATAATGCACACTAGCATAGAAGGAAAATATACTAAAAAAAAATGGAAGCGTCGGTTTTAAATAATTATAATATAGTCTCTACAAAAGCAATTTCATAAATATGTACATATCATATTTTATATGTTAAAATATAGTGTTTCAAATTCATATATGAATAGACAGTAATACATAAGTAATAAAACTCAAATAAATTAAATATGTATATAAAATATAATAAAAAAGAACCACTTATTTTCAAGTTTCTTACAGCTGGTGCTTTTAATTCAAAATCACTGTCCGAATCGTCAGCATATACAATATTACTTTTGCGTCGATTACATGATGTTTCGTTCAAAAGACTATATCTTCGAGTAACAAATCGTTGGCGCTTTACACTTTTGTCCTTATCAGACTGTGACAAATCTGAGACATTAAGGCTTTTTCTGCTTCTTCTTTAGCTCGTCTTATAGATTCTTTACATACAATTAAGCAAGAAAGCAAGAAAATGTGTTAGTTTAAAGATAAAAATAAATCAACTTGAGTAGTCTTGCAAATGAATACTGCATATTGAATGACATTCCCCTAAATATTTATAACAAAAAAGCTTTACATCTGAAGCTACTAAATTGAATAAAAGGTATCATAAATTTCGTTAATAAAGTTAAGTTAAAATTAAAAAATCGAAAGTATAAGGGGCAATAGCTTTTACAAATTCAGTATTTAAAGTTTACGAAGTACATTACAATTGTGATATATTATAAGAAAGAAAAGATAAGGAAAGGGAAAGCAAAAGCCAACAAATTATTTATAAAAATGATGACACACACATATAACACCAAAATATACACAAAATGTAATACTTACTACAAAACTTCAAAATTTTTACGTTTTCATATGTGACCCAAGTGTCAGTCGGCTTCTTTCTTTTTTCTAAATAATCACTTAGTTTTGATTCGTCAGGAGGCCATTTGCATATAGCTGCGAATCCAACTTGTTTGCCATCTTTTGCACACACTTTTATATTCTTTAACCATGCAGTACAGGCTGGTATTGCATAAATATTAGACTCGAATTCATCATATATAGGTAACTCGAGTATAGCATACTGTAATAAAATATTATGATTCCACTTTCTAGCTCTTTCTCTTTCTCCCATATTATTTCTTCTCATCAACTTACCGGCTTATCCGCTGCTATTTGTACATCTATCGCACTCATGACACAAATAATAAAAACAAAATACAAGACAAATTATACTAAATTACACTGAAATCAACTGAAATTGCACTATCCTGCTACGCAGTTAGTAATCGCGACGGCCATATTGCTAAGAGGATCCAGATTCCCGCTACCCCTGCCCCTGCTCGATCTTTGTCTGTCGACAGTAATGATAGGATGCGATAGGATGCGGATTAAGATAGTGCGAAGAGATTGCTAAATAATGTAGTGGTACTTTCGTTGAATATTTCTATGAATAAATGCGAATTACCTGTTTATTTTTTATTATAAAATAGCTAAGTATCCTAAGAAGACGTTAAAGCCAAACGGTGTAACATAATTTTCCTGAGTTTTATTTGTTAACTCAATATTTCTTAAGTGTTTTCATTGCAATGTCTAAACAGGTATGTTTACAATTCTGCTCACTATATCTTGTTTATGTTAAAGCATCTATGTCTGCTTTCTGTTTAAAATATTTAATGCACAATGTTAATATTTGTTGCAATTTGTAGAGATTATGGAATACAGAATGGAAGAAGCTAAAGAGAAAATCTGATCAGAATCTCAATATCTTAGCACAGGAAGAATATTTTGAACATATTGCTGAGAAGAGCGCTTATCATGATTTCAACAAAAAGTGTTGTAACGAAAAGCAACAATATGTGCATGAAGACCATGATATAGATATTATTTTTTATAATGATCTAATAAGCAACAATGAATATTGTAATGGTATGTCCATAAATATTCTAATGATTTTTGCTCTAATATTATGGTTTATAATTATTCATTTATGTATTAATATAAACCTTATTTCTGCAGATCATGATCACGAAAGCAATTATGATCAATCCATCACACAAGAAGATATCAAAGAATCACAGTCTTGTCATATGGAAAGTACAGATGCATTACAAGTATGTTTTGCACTTACGGATAAAAAAAGAAGCATATATGAAGTAGATGATGCTTCGATTATTACTACTATTAATAGTAAAGAACTTCCAAGCAGCTTTGGGTGCCGAGTCACAAAATCAAAATAACATCACTGTTCCTATTAGTAATACATTATACAAGTAAAAAGTAAATGTTAAAGAAATTACTGATCATTGTGAATCTACAAATTCTGATTTCAAACTAGTTCAAGATCTTGAAGTGTGGGCTGTTAAAAGAAATATAACACTTAATGCATTGTCTCATCTTCTGAAAATTTTAAGGAAATATAACCACAAATTGCTTCCTATGTGTGCACAGACACTCTTGAAAACTCCAAGAAGTACAATATTATTAATCAAAGAATTGGAAGGTGGTGGACAATTTTGGTATTATGGTATTCTCTCTGGTCTTAAAACTGTATTATCCAAAGAGATTTTGAAAACATGTCCGATGTAATTGAAATTGATGTGTTTTTTGATGGTTTCTCGCCCTATGATAGTATACGGGGATTTTTATGGCCAATTGCTGGCTGCATAGCTGGTAGAAACGAGGTTTTTATTATAGCTATATGGTGCGGAGAAACGAAATGTCCATCAAATTTTGATGCTTACTTAGAAGACTTTATCAATGAAGCTTTAGAAATAATGAATGGTTTCAACATTGAAGATAGATGTTACAAACTAAAACTCAGAAACATAATTGCTGATGCATCTGCTAGAGCATGGCTAAAATGTGTCAACCAACATGGCAATAAATTTGCTTGTGAAAGGTGGGTATTATTAAATGAGCACCTTTTCTCTTGAAATGTATGTAAATATAGAATAGTTCATTTTTAACAATTGTTTTTATTTTTATAACTTATTCTGCCTGTGATTAAATAATATGTTTATTATCTCTTGGAATTCAGAAATTTTTTTAGCCTTCTTTCTATTACTCAACGTACAAATAAAACTCATTTCGCATAAAATCATAGAACTTCGAAAAAATTTATATA